ATGCATAACATAGAAGCCTGTTTAGGGTTTAGGGTTTAGGGTTTAGGGTTTAGGGTTTATTCTTCCCTTAGGTTCCTTGTTATAGTTATACTATAAAGGAGCCCAAAACCCTATTCTAATTGTTAAGGCCCCTAAAACCTAAACCCTTATAGTAGCCCTTATAGAACTCTTTGAGGAGCCCTGTAAAGGAACCCCGAAAACCCTATTCTATTTGTTAAGGTTTAAGGTTTAGGGTTTAGGGTTTAGGGTTTAGGGTTCAGGGTTCAGGGTTCAGGGTTCAGGGTTTAGGGTTTAGGGTTTAGGGCTAGGCCCCTACCTTCTCCTCGAAGCCCTGCAGACCTGAGCAGGTCAATCTTCTGGTCGAGGAGTATAAGTGCCGGGGCTGCATCATACTTGACAGGGTTCCCCAGTAGTACCCTTGTGCCCTTTTTGTTTTAGGGTTCTCTTATTAAAACCAAATAGCATTAAAAAGGGTACCCGGTTTATCAAGGGGCTACTGGGGAACCTAGTTGAGCGATCATGGGACATAGTAGGTATAAGCTTACTACCTCCATTGGGGTTATAACTTATAACTACTTATAAGTATATAGTTGCCTTACTTAATAGCCCTAGCTACTAAGTCCCACGGTCCTTTAAGCACACCCTTGAGTGCGAGCAGTGTGGTGGAGAAACACCCCCGTACACCGACCGAATAACGTAGGGGCCTAAATAATTAAGATAAGGGCTTAAATGATTACCTATACTATTTTGGGGGTTTATTATTACAATTGTAGTATAATGGTCCCCCAAAACCCGGTTCTAATTATCAAGGCCACTATATTACCAATTTTCTTGTTAGGGTTCCTTATTCTAATAATGCTATTAAAGGAGCCCGAAACCCTATTCTAGTTTTTTTCAGGCCCCTACGTTATGTGATATGAGGCGCATGGAGAAGATGGTCGGGAAGATGGGCAAGAGCGGCCTCTTTGGCAAAGGTGGCTGGGCTGCGAATCCGGCTCTTCGCGGTCGAAGGTGGCAGTGTACTGTAGCTGCTTGATACATAGATACAGTTCATGGTTTGGGGTCTAGGGGTGTAGGGGAGATACAAGTAACGAGTTTCAAAACTATCCTAACTGTCGCTGGATGTCGCCATTGCCTTTCATGCCACTGGGTAGATGAATCACTGAAAGGGCTTCGGGATTAGTGCTCCGGGTTTAGGGACAGACGCCGAAGGACAGGCCTTAAACCCTCAACCCTAAACCGCAGTTAAGCAAACAAACGCAAAGAAACGTGCGCGCCGCCTTTCCGGCCATGATGCGGCCTTCAGTGCCGTTCACGATGAGAGCGGCTTAACCTTGAACTCTTAGCAAAGTTGCCCTAAGCCCTAAATCCTAAACGCTCAACCCCAATCCCTAAACCCTAAACC